ATCGATTGCTCACAACTTTAATGCCAGTGGCTCACAAAGTAGAATTTCTGCTCACAAGACTCCACAGCTTAGAGGGAGGGAGCATTGGTACAAAGTAGACTGCAAGAGTTCCCCCCCCCCCCAAAAAGTGCTGGTATGTTTCCTAAGGCTCAGCATAAGGCGACAGTCCAAGGCCAGGTCTACCAATATAGTGGAAAGGGGTGGGTAGACCTGTTGTCCGGAGACCAGGTCTACTAATAGAATGGAAAAGTGTGGGTAGACCTGTTCTCTGGTGGACAGGTCTACCAATATAGTGTAAGGGGTATGTGTGAAATTTGACTTGATTCTGTTTTCTCTTATAACGTTTACATTATTCTTAAAATATAATTTATTCTGATATTTTTACAAGGTTATGGAAGTAATCTAAAAAAAACCTAATTTACCCGATAGTCATATGTAGACTCGCTCACAACTTTAATGCTACTAGCTTTTTTCGCTTATGAGGTAGAATTTCTGCTCACAACACTTTAGAGCTTAGAGGGAACATTGCCAGCCACCACACTGCTGCTTGGAGAGCTGAGGCTCTCCTTTGCCCTCTCCATTCCTGGCACACTCATCCACGAACAGAGAGGGAGAAGGAGAGTCACTTCCGGGGACCCTCAAGGGCCCTCCGCCCCTACCAAAAATTTTCTGGCTAAGGGCTGATTACAGGTCATCTTCAGACTACAGAGATCAGTTCATCTGGAGAAAACGGATGCCTTGGAGGGTGGACGCTGTGCCATGGCCTTGTATCCCACTGAGGTCCCTGTTCTTCCCAGGCTCCAGACCCAGATCTCCAGGAGTTTCTCAACCTGAATCTGGCTACCCTAACCCCCTATCCCCCACCGGTAGCCAGGAGGGACCTGGCAACCCTAGCCTCCTAGCAGCAGTGTTCAGAGGTTGACTGCCTCTGGACACGTAGGTTCTCTGTAGTCATAATGGCTAGTAGTTATTGATGGACTCTCCCCCCATTTTAAAGCCATCACTACAATGAACAACAGTGAATTCCATTCTTTAGTTACTCATTGAGACAAGGGGCGATTTCTCACTAGAGCTGCCTCGCAGCACAACGCCGTTTGCCCCATCACAAACATGTCAATTTCATACCCGAGGCTGCGGGGCTGCATTTGACTCAGGGCTTCGCCCGAATTGACATGTTTGTGTCAGGGCAAACGGCGGCTGTGCTGCGAGGCAGCTCTAGTGAGAAATCGCCCAAGGAGTATTTCCTTTTGTCCATCCTGAATTGATTTCCTATCAACTTCATAGGGTGTTCCTGAGGTTTAGTATTACACAGGAAAAAGTTCACATCACTCTCATAATAGTCTCCCCCCCCCCAAAAAAAAAATCTGGAAAGCCCCTGACACTTGAGCAGTTCATTCTACAAATATGGTAGTGCTCGAACAGCATGGCTTCTCCCAAAGAATCCTGGGGATTGTAGTTGAGAAGAGTGCTGAGCTGTATCAGTTCAAGGTCCTTAACCTCCACTGTGGTTATGAATTCATAAAGATGCATTATGCTGACCCAGTTTATGGTCCATCTACTCAGACTTACAAAGGCTTTCGTGCAAAGGGTGCCAGCTTTCCAATATCTTTTTTAACTTGAGATACCAGGCATGTAACCTAGGATCTTCTATACGCAAAGCAGAAGCTCTTCCACCAAGTAATTACACTAATGGGTTTGATGAGTGTTACTAGGAGATATGACTAGAGTATCTGCCAAATGGATTAATATTATATAGGCATTTCAATGCTACCCACTTTGATAAAGTTATACACGAAACGAGATATAATATGCATGGTTCGTTGGTGTTGATAGCGTTTGAATTGCTTCAAGTAGACTTAGGCCCCTGCCACACGGCAGGGAAAACACCCGTCAAAGCACGGCTAAATAGAGCCGCACCAAAATAGAGACGTGCGGGCAGGATCCCACGAATCCCGTGCACCGCGCGCCGTTGCTCCCCGGCATGATCAGATGCCGGGGAGGAACAGTCGGGGGGGGGGAGGCTGCCGAACTGTGCATGCTCGAGCATGCGCAGTTTGGCCGGGGGCCGGGATGCGCCGGCGCAAGGACACGCCAGCGATCTCACGGCCCGGATTGAAGCGCTCTACACCGAAGAACCACCTAGGTAGGTGGTACTTTTTAGTGCGGGTTTTCGGGCAGGAGGGACGGATCGGGGACTGGCAGGCAACGCTTCCCAGATGTTGCCGTGGGATCGCGTCCGTTTGCTCCGCCCCCGATCCGTCCTGCTCCCGGCCCAAAACCCCTAGTGTGAACAGGACCTTAATATTCGGAAAAGAATTTTCTAGTCTGTGAAGACTTTTTTGGGCACAATACATCACTGTTGTTTGTTTCCTTTCTACCTCCATCCCGTGATCCCTCTCTTTGGTCTGCACCCATCTGGAGGCTGGAAACCCTATCGGAGTCAGACCATCTGAGTCCATTATGCCCAGTAGTCAAATTGGCACAGCTCTTCAAGATCTCAGGGGTAGAAAGAGCTCTCCTCCTTGAGATCCTTTCACTGTAGATGCTAAGGAACGACCCTGAAACACTGGGCACGCAAAACATTTTCATTGAGCTATGGCCCCTCTTCAAGATTGCCTCCAACACTGACCTAAACAACAACAACAACAACAACAACAACAACAACCTGGATTCTAACCTCTCAGCCAAAAAGGCCCTTCAGCAGTTAGGTAGCTGCAGGCAAGCTGTGAACATCTCTCTGCCTAACCTACCTTACAGGGTTTGTTCAAAAAATTATGTCACTGATTTCATTCGAACATCAGGACTTATGCTGCCTCTCAAACAAACAAAACCCCTTAACAACACCACACTGAAATCCTCCCACTTCATTTACTTAATTCCTTTTTGTATCCCACCTTTTCCTCCAAGGTATTCAGAGGGGTGTTCTAGTTTTCTTTTAAAATTATTTCCTTTATTAATTTGAAAGACGGCACTTTCTGTTCATAGCCAGGCTGCACGGAGTTTGGTAAGGAAGGAAGAAGCTGTTCCCTGCCCACAAGGAGCCTGCAAAACCTTAACAAAACAGCAATTGGGGAAACAACCACAGCTAAGTCGTTTGAGCTGCACCTGCAAAAGGGTCTTCAAACACAGCTTGATCAGCAACAGGTGAAAACGTTCCATTTTGTGTCTTGAAAAGTTTTACCTGCCAGCTGCTGTATATGAAAGGAATGGGACAGAGGTATGTAGCTGTGGCTCTGGCGGCAAGTGTGGCTCAGTATGGAACCTTCAAAGCCCAGTTTGGGACCATCATATCTACAGGACCACCTCTCCCTATACCCTCCTTAGAGGGCACTATGCTCATCTAGTAACAACTTACTGGTAGTCCCTGACCCCAGAACGGTCTGGCTGTCCTTGACCAGGCTCGGGGCCTTTTCAGCCCTGGCCCCAACCTGGTGGAACTCTCTGTCTAGTGAAACTTGAGCCCTGCAGGACTTGTCTCAGTTCCGCAGGGCCTATAAGATGTTCCACCAGGTTGAGGACAGTGGTGATTAGAAAGATCACCTGGATTTCCCCATTGTTGGGCCTCAGATTTCACTGTACTGTCTGCCCCCTTAGATATCCAGTTCTGAAGGCTTGTTGGGGTGCCATCTGACATGACAGGATAGATTGATTCTTAAGTCTCAACTGTAAGGTTTGGTTTTAAACGGTGATGCTGATTTTATTGTATTTAATTGTTGGAAGTTACCCTGAGCCCTGCCTGGCAAGGAAAGGAGTGGGATAAAAATCAAATAAATTAACTAAAAAAATAAAACAAATACAGTTCTCTTAAGAAAATGAGATATTTAAGTTGAGGTCTATTAGAGGGGTAGGTGGGCTGCCGAAACAATGAGTATGTGAAGGGAACGGCAGGCAAAGATTTTTATGGGACTAAAGGGCTTCATAGAGATGCTTTACAGGTAGGGAACTGAGAGAAGCGAACACTTGCCAGTAATGCTGGTGTGAACCATGCACAGATTTATGTCAGTGCACTGAAACAATTGCGCAGGGCACTTCTGTACATGTGTATTACTTATTGTGAGATCTCAGGTTTTCTCCTGTCAACAACAACAACTGGCAACTCAAAACAGAAGGTGTTCCTGATGGTGGTAACAACTGATAAATGGGAGCAACAGTCTTGCAAGGTAGGCTATGTTGAGAGGCAACGACTTGTCCAAGGTCACTCAGTTAGCTCAACCAGATAGGAATCCAGATTTTTCCTAAAACAAACCTAAAATTTCATCTACCGCACCCTAAGTGGCTGGATCCATTCTGCTATCACAGGTCCTTTCCTCTGGCAGGAATTAATCTTACCCTCAATCAGTGCAATGGAAGCTCCTTCGGCTGAAGGAAAACACCTCCACTTGCAGGATACCCACTTTGCCATGGAAGCTTGCTGGGTGACATTGGGCCAATCACTCTCTCCCATTCTAACCTATCTCACAGGAGAGGAGAACATGGAGGAAGGGAGAACACTGTTGTATACAGCTCTGGATCCCCATCAGGGAGAAAAGGTAAAGGTAAAGGTTTCCCTTGCTTGAAAGCTAGTCAAATCTGACTCTAGGGGGCGGTGCTGATCTCTGTTTCCAAGCTGAAGAGCCAGCGCTGTCCGAAGACATTTCCGTGGTCATGTGGCTGGCATAACTAAACACCAAGGTGCACGGAACGCTGTTAGCTTCCCGCTGAAGCGGTACCTATTTATCTACTTGCAATTTCTTGCTTTCAGACACTAGGTTGGCGGGAGCTTGGGGCTAGAGACGGGAAGCTGACTCTATCATGCGGCACACTCGGGTCTCGAACTGCAAAACTACAGACATTCCCGTCTGCAGCTCAGTGTCTTAACCTCTGAGCCACCGCAGCTCCTATCAGGGAGAAAAGTGGAGTATAAATATCTGAACAAATGTTAAAAATACTAAATATAGACATGGACCAATGCTTCTGCCCAGCCCTGCTCTTGAACCTTCATTCACCTTCAATCTCCTTACCTCGTCCGCTCCGTCCTACAAAGCGAAGGTCATTGAACCGGGCCACTTGGTTTTTCATAACAGCAGAGGCATTCCGGAGTTCGGCCGAATAGTTCTCATCGTTGCCAGCCATGACTGTTACCACAGTCCCGTCTGGCACATCTCCAAGGGCTACCACCTAGAAATCAGCAGCAAGAACAACCAGGGGGAGAAAAACACAGGGGTTCATTATAAACTTTTTGTTATATCTGCTCAATGACAGTATGTGACTTTGCTGCTGAGAAGCCAGCAAGGCACTCAAGGACACTATTCAATGAGGGACATAATCTTGTGCGGAATTCAAGACTCATGCTTCGATCCTGTGACTTTCTTGCCTTAGAGCAGTGGTGGCGAACCTATGGCACGGGTGCCAGAGGTGGCACGCAGAGCCCTCTCTGTGGGCACGCGTGCCATCACCCCAGCCAGGCCCAGACCATCATTAAAGTGTTGAATTCTCTGCCAAATAATTTAAAGTAAATGAAAGCATCTGGGATTGCTTTCCTTACTTTGTTTGGATCATCTTAAGTTAATGTATAAGTTGTTTTTTCTAAAGTAAAACCTCAGTATTCAGGTTAAATTGCCGTGTTGGCACTTTGCGATAAATAAGTGGGGTTTGGGTCACAGTTTGGGCACTCGGTCTCTAAAAGGTTCGCCATCACTGCCTTAGAGTAATCCCTGCTGATTTTAGCAGATGTACCATTGAGAAATCACGGATAGGATCAAGTTCGTTTAGGAAGAGGTTGTTAGAAACTGAACTGAACACATGCATAAATCTTACAGTGATACATCTAAGTTCTGAATATATACTATGTTGGGGGCCTGGTCTGTGAGATAACGGGGGAGGGAGAAATTATTGGGAAATCTGTCCCCCAAAACAGGTGAATTCTTTTAGAATTCAGGAAGCTCTGAAGAGCTTCAGCAGGCAAATCACTCCATCTTATTCTGAGGGTTTTTAACTGATTCAACTCCCCATATGTTTTGCTCCCCCCCCCCCCCCCCATTTTCATTTTGGTACATTTTAACTAATTTTTCCTTATGTACCCAGGGAGTTCCCAGAGCATGCCCCTGCCTTCTATATGGGTGGTGTGGTGTGGATGTTTATGTGATTGATACAGAGGCCAACCACGTTTTTAGTAGATATTAGTATCAGTGCTGCCAGCCAGTTCAAGAGTTTCTGGTTGAAATACATTTGTATTTCACTAAAATCACAGGGTTCATTTTCTAAATGCTGGAGGAAGTGTGGGATTCTTTGGGCCACAATTTAACCCAAGGTAAGCATTTAAAAAAAACAACAACACCCAAATCTAACAATGCAGTCCTAAACAGAGTTATACCCTTCTAAATCCTTTGGAGTTCGTACATTTAGGATTGGGATGTTAACCCTCTTGGTTTCAGCCAGTGAGTGAAACACACTTTTAAATTATTTATTTTATTGGGCAATAGGGTATTAGAAACAAGACTATTTATACCTTGCTTTTCTATTTTTTAAAAATGTTCTGGTGAAATTAACGGGATTTTAATAGCCTAAAGTAGCCACTCACTATTTTAAACAATGATGCCATCATTCAATTTCTTTTTCAGATTCCCTGTTAGAGTCACACAGACGTTTCAAGTGAGACCTTAATTGACAGTCCCAACTATTAAAACTGGCTCCTACAGATTACTGAATTTATGAGAACTAGACAAAATGCAGCAATTTCACTTTCCACCGATTTCCACATTTCACACATGCATAAGGCTTTGATTTCACAATGCTCACTCACATGGAAGCCAGTTCTATTTAATTCAGAGGAATGTATTTCTGAATAAGCAATTTAAAGGGTTTTTCAGCCCCTCCTTTGTTCCTGGGATAGACATGTGAACCAACACAAAGGTAGTTTGGGGCCTGAATTGAACATTACATTGGCAGGGGAGAAAAATTTATTCACACATACCGAGCATCTCATTTAAAATGGGCCACAGCTCATACTAAGTGGCTACATATGCCACATTAGCATGCCAGAAGTCTACAACCTAGAGCATGTTTACCATACTGGGGTCCTAATGTGGCACGTATAGCTACTCTGCATACTCAATTTATTATGATACCAGTAAACAGAAAGCAGTGAGCTGCATGAGCTTGCATGTACCCAGCATCAATTTGACTTTGCAGTGCCACGCATGCCACATCAGCACACCAGTGCAACATCTGGGCTATGGATCTCTGGCATGCTTCAAGTAGTACATGGTGGCAGATGAGACCCCAGTTTAAACAAAGTACACTGGGCACAGAGAAGATCACAGGATAGGACGTTTTTTAACCTGCCAGCATCAGGTTGAAATCAGGCCTTAAATGTGAGCACGCGTATGTGATAAAACAGAAAGAGTTTTAAATGAGTCTGAACTGTCTCCAAATCTACTGATGATCACAGTGGAAGGATGACTTGCTGTCTCATTCCAACCTCCCTGTGCTTTGAAACGTAGGCGGGATTTCAGTTTTACTCTCTGAATAGGGTTGTGGGTGGGGGAAAGAGATTTACATAGGTAAGGGGAAAGGTCCTTTATGCCTCTTCCATAGTAGAAAGCCCAGCCAATTGTCTGCTTTGGGTTTTTGATACATTCGTAAGTGGACAGAGGCTACTTTGAATAAACACCTGTTCAGCAAAACAAGCAGCTCAGTTGTGGGGAAGGAATGTCTCAGCTGCCATGTAGAAAAGTGAGTCAAACAAGATCCTTAAAAAGAAAAAAAAAACCCTACCATCCCAGCTCCCACTTCTAACCAAAGGAACATCTCTGTGTAACTTGGGAAACTTGCAATACCACATTTCAAACATTGGTTGGTCTCAATCCAGCCTAAAGTGAAGCAACTGGAAATTACACTGAAATCCAACAAGACCCAAAAGGGATCAACTTTGGCTGGATTGTGTCCATAAAGATGTTACTAAATATTAATTTTTTGTTCTTCTTCTGTGAATTTGGTCATAATTGATGCAGTACATTTTCAGGCACTGTGGTGAGCCTGAAGCCAGAGTGTTTGATTAGGGTTCAAATTTACACTGCACTATGAAGTTCATTGAGTGGCCATGGGCCAGTCGCTGTCTCTCAGCCCAGCCCATATCACCTCGTAGGGTCTGGGTAAAACAGCATCCTTGGACAAAGGGCAGAATAGAAGGCAAATTAAAAAATAAGCACATCATGTCACCTTCCCTCAATAAATCATTTGCTAACCCGCTTGAGCTTTACAGCTCTTATGGTTGCAGAGTCCAAAACCATTTTATTACCTAAAACATTTTATTATCGGCATTTTTGTTTACTACATTTTTTATCCTGCCCTTCCTTCAAGAAGCTTGGGGAAGTACATCAGTCCCCTCCTCCATTTAGCCCTCACAACACCCCTGCAAAGTAGGTTAACCTGAGAGTGCACAACTGGCCCAAGGTTACCCAGCAGTTGCGCACTCTCAGTTTAACCTACTTTGCATGGCAGAGGGGGCTGGAGCTCTAAATCTGGATAAGGGAGAAATCAAAGAAGATTTGGTTGTCTTAACAGTGCCATAATAATAATAATAATAATAATAATAATAATAATAATAATAATAATCTCTGAATTATTATTATTATTACTATTACTATTTTCTGAATTATTATTATTCAGAGATTTAAGAAGGCATCATTGTTTAGTGTGTAAATAATTGTAGTTGCGTTCATGGCAGCAGCAGCGGCGTAAAACAGAAGGCCAGTGGCCCTTTGCTGTGGCCTCAGACCAGAGTGAGCTCTGACTCACCAAAAGCTTCTGCTGGCATAGGCTTATGTTTGTCTTGAAGGTTCCACTGGATTGTCTTTTCATGTAGGAGCAGAATCAGATCAAAAATAATCACTATACGCGCTTTAATTAAATGATGCTGCAATAAGAGTTTTCCCCAACCTTTAAAAAAGTTTACAGCAACTATTTAACAATCAAAGCCATTTAAAAAAGGAAGATTTTCCATTTCTGCTTCCAAAGTACAACCAACGTCCCTTTCATTATAAGCCAGCAAACAGGAACAAATCCATTCAGGACTACAGTCCCTTCTAACTACCTTTATTTGCCTGAAACCTCTGCATATTTACTCAGAAGTACTACTGAGTTCAGTAGGGTTTAGTTCCAGGTAGGTACATGCATGGAACTTGGGCCTCTTTCTAAGAAAATTATATATATTTTAAAGCGAGACCTTTTCCCCTCTGAAAAATCCTGATGGTATAGATAGGCCACTCACCACCAACCCATGCATTTCTCTTTCACCCAGAATTCTTTCTCTGAAGGGGGGGTGGGGGGAATTGCTGCCACGAACCAGGTAATGATTGGACTGTGGGTGTTTTGTTTTTGTTTTTGTTTTAAAAAACATATGTAGAATAGTGCGCTTAACTTCATAATCTTAAATAGTATTTTGTAATAACAAGAAATCAAACATTATTTCAATATCTGCCACCTACAAAGAATGCCAGCCAAACCTCTTTCTTTCCATGGCAAATCCACAATCATGTTTGTGCTGGTCCCCTCCCCCCCAAAAAAAACCCCACAAAAACCTGGGAAACAAAGTTATCCCTACCCTTTTTCCTTTGTAAAAATTTTTCACTTGAAATGAATGGGATCGTCCAGGGAGTTATGGGTAGGATTTGTGGTTGCCAAGAGGCCTGGAGAAAACCTTTCTGTCCTTTTCACAGAGGCTCAGCATGTGCAAAAGGGCAGCTGAAGTATAGGAAAGGGGCAGGAAGGTTTCCTCCAGGCCTGCAGGCTGGCACTCATAAGGAATTGGATCCTTCGCCTTCAGAGAGGATCGTTCCAGTTCCTTTCCGTTCCCTCGTTCTCATCCCTACAGGGACAGCAGCCAGCCAACTCCTGAAATCTGTCCAGGGATCTACCTTCGAGTCGGCTGGTTTAGGGAGACCAAAAGGCTGTGGCTGGAGTAATCTCCCTAAGCGATGACAGCTCCACTATAACCCAGCGCGTTTGTGCGGGCGCGCTCCTTTTTCACTGCCACTTCGCTCTTCTTCCGTCACTTCTTGCAGGCTGTTCGGCATCCCTTAAACCGTTAAGCTTCCCAACTGCACCAGTATCCTGCCCGCTTTCAGCATTCCCCCCCCCCTCGATTTCAGCGGGCAACGGAGCAGCGTCCTGGGCCGGGAACGAGGTAGGGCACTTGGCTCCGACAGGGCGCCTCTTGCCTGTTTTAGAGTTCCCGGTGAGTGGGACAGTCAGGGGGCAGCCTCGGTCCACTGAAATGCAGGGGTTGAGACTGGAGTCGCGCTGCAGAGGACGGCGCCCTTTCGTCTTCTTGCAGCAGAATTAAATCGGATTGAGAAGGGTTTCGTTTTTGCAGGACTGTGGAAACTCTCACGGGCGGGAGGAGGCTGCCTTCAGTCCCTGGGTTGGCTCTGACGATTCCAGAAGCCTCCCTTCCGTTTGGCCCCTGCCTTCGGATCCCACCCCAGCGCTACGGGGCACCCTCGACCAGGCAGATTTTTAAAGTGGGGGTGGTTTAAATTTCTTAGGGGGCACTGGCTAATCGAATTAAAGGAATATTTGGCTCCTTCCCTGCACCAGCTGCCACTTGGGGACTCTGGGCTGGATGGGAAGTTGTTGGGGCCTTGCCAGTAAGTCAGGGGGCCTAGCCCCGAGATGCCCCACTGGAGCTATGGGCCTGCCCTCGACCCTCCGACCTGCTTCCTGAAGCAGACTCACTCGCTGCACACAGTATGCCTCGTCCGAGTGTTAGAAGTCAGGCCCTTTTCGTTCCGTGGGACTTGGTGGCCGCGGGAAGGGCCGCCAACACCGTCACAGCTGACTTATGGCGATCCCGTGGGGTTTTCAAGGCAAGAGGCAGAGGTGCTTTGCCATTGCCTGCCCCTGCCTCGCGACCCTGGTGTTCCTTAGAGGTCTCCCATACTAGCCAGGGCCGACCCTGCTTAGCTTCCGAGAGGCTGGGCTATCCAGTGGGATTTACTCGCAGGTGAATTTGCACAAGACTGCAACGCTTAGTTCTCAGGAAGGGTGTTTTAAGGGCACTTTAAAGGGGCTTCATTTTATTAACTGGACTGGGGGTTGGAAACTCTTGGGAGCATCTAGTAGCTGATGATTTTGCAAAACATTTCACCACCGCCACTATTGTTGTTGCTGGAACCCTATCACAACCGTATTTACCTGGAAGTCTATCCTGCAGGTTTCAACTGCTTCGCATTCTCAGTTTAAGAGCTCGATTTTTTTTT